AGTTGTAACTCATTCAAGATTGCTGTTTTTAATCATTCCTTCATAATATTCAGCTGCCCAAATGTACAAAGCTCAATTTATTTTAAAAACTAACTCTTCCAAAGGCTTAAAATAAAGCTTAGAGCCAACTCAGTTTACATTTTTGTGTTATTACACTTATTTTTCTTCCAGTTCCTGAGTATTAGTTGACAAAACATATCACTGATGTAGAGATATGATTTGAAAATTAGCTTTACAAATCTATTACATTAATAATTGTATTAGCTTCCTAGGGCTGCCATGACAAAATACCACTAACTGGGAGATTTGTAAGAACAGGATTGATTGTCTTACAGATTTGGAGGCTGGGAGTTTGAGTGTTGGATGTGTTGATTTCTTCTGAGGCTTTAAGGGATAATCCGTTAAATGATTCTCTCCCACCTCCTGGCAATTCCAACTGTTCATTGACTTACAGCTGCCGCATCATGTGGTGTACTTCCTCCATCTCCCTCTGTATATCTTCTTCTCTTTTATAAGAACCCTAGTCACATAGGATTGGAACCCACCCTATTCAGTATGACATCATGTTAACTTCATTTATAACATCTTTGGAAGAAGGCCCAGTGGTCATGTTCTTCCCTGTTCTTCCCCCTGCTAGTATCTCTAGCCCTCAGGTACAAACTACCAGCCCCCTGAAGCCAGATGTCCTATTCAGATAACTAGCAGGGCTAAAGAGATAACATTCACCTAGAATATTAGAGAAATGGCTTATTCCAAGGGTGGGGCAGGGAAAGTACAAGATGAGCCTGGGATATCATGTTTTGTCAGAAAGTAAGAAATGCACATGGTATGAAAGGATGATGGTAACATGTCAAAATGACACAGAAGTCAACTTAAAGGAATTCTCACTGGCCAAACTCCGGACAATTTGCGCATTAAAATAACTAATGATAACCAATTATGGTTGAGACTATTCCAACTCACGGTGACCCCATGTGCACCAGAGCAGAACTATGCTTCATATGGACTTCAATGGCTTTTCAGAAATGGACTGCCAGGCCTTTCTTCCAAGGCACCCCTAGATGGACTCAGAACCTCGAACCTTTTGGCTAGCAGCCTAGTAATGGATTACAACCCAATGAATAAAGTAGGAAAACTTGAGTCCATACTGATATAAATAAATTAATTAATAAACTGAAAGTTTTATGAGGAACGGGATATTTACAGCATAGTGCCTAAGGCCCTTGACCGCTAATCAGAAGGCTGGCAGTTCAAACCCACCAGCCACTCCTCAGAAGAAGAGTAGGGCAATCTACTTCCATAGTGATACTGCCTCAGAAACCCAAGGAGGGGTCTCTATGAGTGAGGTCCGACTTGACAGCACATAACAACAACAACAACCTAAAATTCATTTTAATTACAAAGGAGGAAAAAGGAGTAATTTAATAGTGTAGAAGCCTGGCAGATACTACCTTTGTCAAGCAATCAAAACAATCATTTCAAAAAAAAAAAAAAAAATCCCTTGCTATCAAGTCAAGTTCAAATTCTGGGATACTAAAAGGATCCAATGGGAAGAACACAGCATCATGTCTGTGGTATTCCTAACAAAAATGCACAACCAGAATCTATTCATAAACATAAAATAGGCCCAAATTTAGAGACATTCTACAATAAAATTGCCCAAATCTTCATGTTAAGATCATGAAAATGAAAGAAAGACTGAGGAACTCTTCCAGACTGAAGGAGACTAAGGAGGCTTAACAAAAATTTATAACATGTGATTCAAGATCGGATCCTTTGGTTATGAAGGGCTTTATTGGGACAAACTGGAGATACCTGAATAGGGTCTGAAGGTTTTGATGGTTGACTGTAAGAGAATGCCCTTTTTTATAGGAAATACACACAATAATATTCAAATCTATTTGCAAGGCATCATGTTGGCAACTTGCATATTGTTTAGGAAAAACAGGTTTCTATACTGTACTTGCAATTTTTCTGTAAGTTTGATATTGTTGAAACTAAAAAAGAAATATGCTAAACAAAATAAAATTAACTGTTTAAAGCAAAAATAATAAATTATACTGTGGAGTTTATAAATATATAAATATAAAATGTATGACAGTAATAGTACAAAGCATGGGAAGGGAAAAATGAAAGTATGCTTTTGTTAGACTTTTACATTATATGTAAAGTGGTATAAAGTTATTTGAAGGCAATATGTGATAAGTTAAAAATGAATATTGTAAACCCTAGAACAGCAATTGCTTAAGTAAATAAAAAACATCATCAGTCAAAGGCATAGGAGTTCAAAAATAAACAAACAAAAAAACCCAGCTACTTAAGTCTAGGAAAGTATGTGACATGGCTTAGAAAGACAACTAAGAATGAGAAGGGAAATATTAATGACACAAAAAGATAAATAATTAAGGCTAGAGCGATAGACTTGGTTACATACAAATTTAAAATTTCTGTCATCGAAGGACTCCACAGGCAAAATTGAAAGCAAACATCAAGTGTGGCAAAAAGTATCTCCAAATGTATTCCAGACAAAGGATTAATGTTGCCAATATATAAAGAGTTATTACAAACCAGTAAAAATATTTATAGGGAGTCCAACTTAAAAACAGATAAGATATAGGCAGGCAATTTATAAAGGAGGAAATAATAGTCCAAATTATCCTTGTTGTTGTTGTTGTTATGTGCCGTCAAGTCGGACCCGACTCATAGCGACCCTTCCTTGGGTTTCCCAGGCAGTATCACTATGGAAGTAGATTGCCCCTTCTTCCTTCCGAGAAGTGGCTGATGGGTTTGAACCTCCAGCCTTCTAGTTAGCAGTCAAATGCCTTAGGCACTATGCTACCAGAGCTACATAAAGTGCAAGATAAATAAATATTACAACTGCATTTCATGTTCCCCAAAATAACTTTTTCTTTAATGGCACTTATTTTATGCCTCACTATTTTAAATTGCAACTCTGAGGCATTATGCGCTTCAAAGGCACCATTACCCAGCAAAATGCAGGAGTGCTGATCTAAAAGGCTGCTCTATATGATCAGTGTATTCATGATCCTGGCTGAGCCACATAATCAGCGGGTTCGTGATCCTGTTGTTGTTATGTGCCATGGGGTCGGCTCCCACTCATTGCGACCCCTCCTTGGGTTGCCCAGGCAGTATCACTACAGAAGTAGCTTGCTCAACCTTCCGAGAAGTGGAGTGGCTGGTGGGTTTGAACTTCTAGGCTTCTGGTTAGCAGTCAAGTGCCTTAGGCACTGTGCTACCAGTTAATTATCAGTGACTTCCTGAACCTGTCTTTTCACTTGCAAAGCCATCTTTGTCCTCTTTCCTAACCAAATCTAGTGAACATCAACACCCAACTTACCTTCAACAGGAAATTTTATGACCCACTTAGCTTTCACTTGTCCCTTCTTTCTCTGCAATCTTGATATCAACTGTCAGCACTTGTCAAAAATCTGCTTGTGACATCCCTTGTACTATTTCCTGGCTCTAATTAATAGCTCTTTTTTGTCTCTTATTCCAACTACTATTACCTCTCAAAGGCACACAATGGACCATATGCCGCTGAGCGCTTCTCAGAGCATCTAGAACAATATTGTTGTTGTTGTTGTTATTTGCCATTGAGTCGGCCCCGACTCATAGCGACCCCTCCTTGGGTTTCCGAGGCAGTATCACTACGGAAGTAGGAGTGCCCAACCTTCCTTCCGAGGAGTGGCTGGTGGGTTTGAACGGCCAGCCTTCTGGTTAGCAGTCAAGTGCCTTAGGCACTATGCTACCAGAGCTCCTGGAACAATATTAAGCACATAATAGAAGCACAAGCATTTGAAAGCAGGGTAAATTAATTAATTAACTGCTTTAGTTTCTGGCACATGCTTTTTGAGAATTTTGTTTGAAGCGGACTTACTTTGCATATGAGTATATCTGTCATGTAGATGAGACTAAAGAAAGCAGCTCCATGAAAATGACCATTATCAAGATGCAGCCATGAGTTTCCATATGTAACTTTGCTCTCTCTCTCTCTCTCTTTTTTTTTTTTTAGTTGAAGGCACATTATTTATTTATTTACTTTATTGTGTTTTGGGTGCAGATTTACAGAGCACAATTTGTTTTACATTCAACAGATTGTGTACATTTGGTTTCACTCCCCAATTACCACCCAACCATAACTCATTCTTCTCCTCTCCCTTCCCTGTGACCACCCCTTTCTCCGCCTTCTTAGTTATGCACTCCTCTCTGTCCAGCTTTCCCTCCATGTGAATGCTGCTCCTATGATGCCCCCTGGCCGATTGCTCCAAGGGGTGCATCTCTGTAGAGTAGGTGGGTGTATTGCCCTGGGTTGGGTGTTCTACATGTAATTCTTTCTACTGTTGGGCTCCCCAAAATACCTTGAACTCTATTCTCTACATTTAAAGGGTGGATTCAATTCATGGGATTTTACAATGTAAAATTTACAATTAACCAGAATAATGTGATATTTTGTAGACCATTCCTCCATTTACCAACCACTCATCTATCAAAATGGAACAGAATATTAGCAGTAGTTGGAATTATGCTTAATTTTTCAAAAATAAATTCAACAAGCTGTAAGATATAGACACATGACTCTTGTTTTTATGAATTAACAATCTAAGGAAGAAAGATGATATCATAAATATTTTAACTAACTGAAAGGGACAAGGCATTCCAGAGTGGAGGCATAGTGTTAAGGTGAAGGGATTAGGGACTAGAAACTAGAAGAAAGGAGTTAGGGTATCCAAAATCTATTGCATCTCAAATGACAACATATGCTTAAAGGAGGAAGGAAATGTTCATTATTATTTAAAATGATTTCAATGTCTCCATTTTTAACTGTCATATTTATTTTATAACCATTTAAATGAATGACTTCCAAAACTGAGATATCCCAAAGTTAGTTGTAAAAATATGTATTTCTCTGAAATATACCTTCCATAATTCATGTAAGACAGAATGAAAATAACTAGTTAAGACATATAAATCATACAAACCTGTAATATTGCTCTGTCAGGTAATAGTGAAATGTCACATTGCAGACTCCCATCTACAAGAGAGCCTTCAGATGGACTTCGTTGAGGAGACAGGTCTTCATCAGTAACTAATTTTGATTTTGACTTACTTTTCCATTTTCTCAGTTGAATTTCATGTTTTAACATCTGCAATGAAAATAATTATAAATTCTATGGAATTGTTGTAGGGGTTCAATGAAATTATAAATATAAAGCACAGTGCTTGATACACTATAATAAAACATTGCTTATCATCATATTTACTACATAAATTATCATTCTCAATATGCATGCTTAATGTTCTCTGAACCACCAGTTTTATAAATCATTTTCATTGATTGTCATAGTATACTGATACCTTGGGGATCTAGTCCAGTCTCCTTTTCAATAGGTGAGGAAACTGAGGTCAACAGAGCCAAGGTTCTGGTAATGATAGAATTGGTATATGGAGCATAGAAGAGAATTGGTTAGCATGGGGATAACAAAAAGGAGAGTCACAAAGAGACTTCGTTGGCTTATCTGATTTCTTTATTATTACAGGAAGTTTCCTCTTTAAAAACATTCCTGAAAACTACATATTAAAGAAAAGCCCCTAAGGGTAAGTAAGTATTTCATGCACACATGCACACATAGACACAGAGTTTTGGTGAAATGTGTGTGTGTGTACAAAACACTATATATTTGTATATCAATTATGATGTACAAAACATTATTCTTTGCTCAAGCAGCTGGAGTCATATGTAGTGTTACCTGAGTGATGGACAAAGAAACAATAAGAATCCAGCAACTAGAGACCTCAGTGTTACTGTATGCTGTGACTGTTGTACTAGGCTTCCCCTTGTTGTTGTTGTTGTTGTTATGTGCCGTCGAGTCGGCCCCGACTCATAGC